TTGTCCCGTTTTAGAAGTCAAGAAGCGCAACTTTCGGCACCCCAGTGTAATCCACGTTTGTTTCAGCTAAAACACGATTGAAACGACCTTTAAGAACGATACAAACAACAAAACAAACACTTAGATATAGATTTGGAACATGGGGAACTTGGACCACGCCTCTTGGAACTAAATATGTTCATTAAATATTAGCCAAATGCCACACGCATATTCAAACCAAATCATGCTATACCAACTGATACCAATTTGTCGGATTTTGTAGGTAAATGTCAACCTTAGGAGTTCGTCAACCATCCTCGACTGGTGATCTGGACCTTTTGGGAATTCCTACTCCAGAGTCCTTTCTTTTTAGCTAATATCAGCTGACCCGGTAGCAAGGGAGCACGGTTCCTCACACTTAAGACTTAAGGGTGTGGCAAGGCTGGGGAGAGGTGCAAGGGCGTCGCGAGGGGCGGGCTGAGGGTACCAAACAGTTTGCAGGCTGGCCATAGCCAGGCAATGGCTAGCCAAAGACAGGCCTCAAGCAGCCAGAGTCGAGGTGACTTTAACGGGCAGCAGAAAGCTACGTTTGGCAGCGAGCCGGCAGCTTTGGTTAAGGGAGTGGCGAGGGGCGGGCTAAGGGGGCTGTTCCAGGTCTGACACAATAGAGGCTAGCCAAAGACAAGTCACAAGCAGCCAGAGTAGAGGTGTCTACCTGGCTTTGACTCATCTTGAAACCCCACACCCTCACAGACTCAGGGACTCACCCAACACATCTTCGCGACACAAGACGCACAAAGGCAACGTCAACAACAAGCACCTGATTGACTTCTTGGGTCGCTTCTGCCAGGGCAATTTGCCTCATCTTCGCTGACGTGTCTTGGGAACCGCACGCACGCAGCTGTGTGCGCATGTCTTGAACGTTCGCGGGAATTGAGGATTCGAGCATGTCTTGAAATTCGATCTCCAACCAATGACCCGGATCTGAACTGATATTGTTCTTATAGTCAATTGGGTAACCAGGAGGATTGACATCCAATGAGATGTCTCACTGTGTTCATATGTTGTACCAGAGCAGCAAGTAGGCTAAATGGGTATTTCTACCGAACTCTCGGGAACTCTAAAGTCTATATCATGCTTCTTAGCAGGACCAAGTTCTTCAAAAGGCTGTAACATCTAGACCGAGGGGGGCTCATGACAATCTGCAAACACTTTCTTGCCAATTGGGTTCCCCCAACTCTATGCTCACAGGATGACAACACCTTGCAACACGTCAATCTCAAAAAAAACAAGCCATCCCCAGGACACAAACTACTTGTGGATCACCATGGTTAAATGTTAAAATGAACCGATTAAACAGTCTTTAACATCTTGAAATAACACATTTGGAAATAACCAATAAACGTGATAGAATAGAACAGGCCCTGAGCAAAGACTGTTGAACAACAATAAGCACGTAGAACAACTAGAAGCACACATGCCTGGCTCCAGGGAAAAGGGCACACTCCCCAGCCATGAATCGTGCGCCCCATCCAACTACGCCTCAGCAGCCCCAGGCCCGGTACTGGGTATGCGAGGTAGGATTAAAGTAGCAAAGATTGTGCAACACCCAAAGACAAAGAATACATGAAAAAGGTGTGACATTCAGGAAAAGCTCCACCCACAACCAGGAGCAAAATATGTACAACACCAAAAGGGCACCAATGCATGATAGATTAAGCAAAACACACTCCCCCAGAAACTAGATGCATCGTGATTACAGCTTTACTGTTTTTGTTTACCACGAAAAGAACCACTGGATCCACAGGTGAAGACTGGGGTGATGACGATTCTAGGACCGTCCGCGGCACCACGGGCGGCAACTCCCACACCAACCAAGGCGAGCAAGGCGAGCAAGGCGAGCGACATCTTTGGGATCCTTCCGCGCCAAAGGCCAAAGGGAGCGACTTCAGCCACATCTTGACAAGTTGCTTCGCTGCGTCGCTGAGCTGTGCCCTGTCTTAGTGGCAAAGCGGATTTCACGCCCCAAAATGACAGTATACCGCCGACCGATATAGCAGCATGAACAAGAAGCTCTAGCAACAGGGTCTTATGGACATGACCCTATGGATAGAGGATTTTGAAGATGGACAAAAAACAGTTTCTCTCTCTGGAATCGTATGCTTGAAGCCGCCATAGCTGGGAGATATGCAGGTGTTAAAATATTTACATGATGGGCACACCTATAGGAGAACGCAATTGAGAACATGGAAATTCGAGATTCGGAAAAACAACGGCCTCAACTTGTTCAACGTGTCAACAAGGTGCTAGGTGCTTTCTACCTCAGAAGTGTAGGACCCAGGTGTTTCACCACTTTCAAAGTGCCAGGTGGTTGCTGGAGAGACATGCCAAACGCTCTGAAGCTGGGTTTCTGAGGCGAAGCTCCTCCGAGTTTGGCACCCAGATTCACCTTCCAAGAAATCCTCCTGGGACCCAATCTACCGATGTGGCTCTGGGTCTTTCAACCCGGGAACCAGGATTTTTCCTGTAGAACATGAACAAAATTGACTAGTACCAGCAGTTCCAAAGGAATGGTCTTTAGTCCTTAAGTGAATGGATGATGGGAACCCCTATCCTCCAAGTTCGGCACCCAACACCATGGAACTGCTGGTCTACGAGGTCAACACGAAGCCGGGTGAAACGGGCAAGGCCGGGTGCCACCCACAGCCATCGAGCGAAGACAGCGGTGTAGCAGTGAGCGAGATATTTGGCCGACCGAAGTGGTCGGGTCCAAGCGATCTATATAGATACAATTGGCATATATATCAAAAAGAATGTTACAGTTAAAAAACAGACCATCCATGGGACTAAAATAGTTACTTGCATTTGGGTGGTATAATCAATGTAAGTGTATGTTAACAATTCCATACATTCAAAACATTCGCAACAAATGACAACAAACACCTCCAACATGGTGTCCCGGTTCCGCGAACAACAAGAGAGAGGAAGCCCCACACGGCCCAGCGCCGCCCAGCGCCCAAAATCTGCAGCCACACGGCGGCACCGCTGATTGCCTGGATCGCTTCACCTTTGGGGACCCTCTGACAGCGGTGGTTGAAGACGTCCGCGAAGGGCACCAAGGCCTATGCATTGCAAAAGCACCTGGTTGGAAGTGGTTTGCGAAATGAAAACAAAACAGGGTGAAGGGGGTTCACTTTCATATACAGTTCTCTAAGATCCCTGTGGAACTACCGGTGAATGTCAGGATTCGATTCTATAGTTATAAACAAACAAACAAACAATATCAGAGGGCAATTTGCCCCACTATAGAATCAAATATCAACCTTCTGCAGTGCTGAGAACCTGTTCTCTATAAAATGGTTCAGCACAACCTGATGGCCAAACAATTGTGTGTCCTCAATAAATCTCGATGGCAAAATTTGGGAAACTCAATGATGCAAAGCTAATGTTGAAATTGATTTTGGAAAATGATAGGACAAAAGTGGCCGAAGAGGTCGGTGGGTTGAAATTAAATTGCTTTTAGAAGACGGTTAAGCATGAAATGCAAAACAACAAGTCCATGTTGATATTTGTTTAAATAGAGGGGTGATTGGATAATTGAAATCTAGACTCCCAACACGTATAACCTCTATAAAATCAAAAGCTAGAACCTCCATGTTCATGCCTTTTCTATAAAATGGACTAGCTCAACCTATTGGGCATCAGCCAAACTGACCCAGTGGGGGCCATCTATAGTGGCACTAGCATTTTTCAGGTATATAGGTTAGGATCTCATTCTATAGAAAAAGTGTCTATAACATCTGAGGGTCAGGCTCGACCTCCCCGATTCTATAGGGTTTATTGGGCAGGGCATTCGCCTTTCGTTATTGGGTAGTGATCGTGATTGTTCCACTTGAAGGAACAACAACACAACTCAACTGCAATGGACTGGAACCCAGCTCACCACCACACCACGCGGGAGAAGCACCTCCAAATGGAAGTCATCCACTGTAAAGGCCTCGGCATGTCGTCTTGTCAGCCTCTACAACCTCTGGATGTTATGGACACCCTGTACCCTGTAATATAGGCACCGCGACATGAAGCTGGCTCTGTTGTCAAAATTCAGTTTTAGAGTTTAAACATCTTGTGATAGATCTGCGGGATTAGCGCAAAGGGATGCAACAACAATATGTCTTGGCCCCTCCCAGTGGCCACTGGCCTCACTGCTGATCCCCGTTGCAGCGCGTCACGTTTCGGTTAAGCCTTCGGAGAAACAGGGCCATTTGTAGCCTGCCCAAACACACTCAAACAGCTTGATTGGCCCTTTGGCTGGAGGCATCGAGAAATCTGGAGACCCATTTCCGAGTCCACGTGGAATGACTCATATACCGCCAAGACCCAAAGCACATGTGGAAGCGCCTTTCATTTTCAAATCACTATATACCGCGCCATCATCCGTCATCCATCAAGTTAATATTAAGTGTGTGTGTCTTTTTGATTGTTCCACTTGTGTTTTTGATGATTGTATTTTTTAGACTGTCACTAACTTAGATTCACTTGACTTGAAACCTGTCGCTACAGGTTTCGCCTCCTTGACCGTTTGCCTCTTTGACTCTTAAAAGGGGCGATCTGAAACGGCTTTGGTTTTTTCTGCGCCATGTTCAGACACCGCGCCCGTTTCCATGCGCAAAGATCGAGCTGCTCTGGAGCTTGCCAAGGTGGCAGCATGTAAGTAGTCCTCCTCGGTGATGGTCACCTGAGGACGAACTCGTCGCCGACGCGTTGCTGGTCACGAAAAGAACGTGCCTGTTTTTCGTCGATGATCATGTTCAATGGAGACTACTACCAGTGGCTTCTAAAATCGTCCAAACGTGCGGCTCCGCGAGAAGAGGGCTCGCTGGAATCCTCCCCAAACAAAAGAACCGGGCACGACATCCAAGAAGTCACAGCTTTCTATCAGGACCTTATTCCTTCGTGACCTTATTCACAGGAGTCTCTGTTTGTGACCTTATTCTGGGACGAAGTGACCCAAATTCTGGGATCTCAATGACGTTCACGAACTGAAGCTCCTGGCATGTGCACGTGCGTTCAGTTCACCCGCGCCTCGTGTAAGGGCGGCGAGTGCAGAAGCTGTTGATGCTCCCGAAACCTGGGTTCGGGTGAAACGAAAACCTTCAGCGCTGGAATCACCAGACCTCTTCCAGGAGCTGGAAGGACCCCTCCAACAGGGCCGAGCGTGTAACAAAATAATGATGGGATCGCTGAAACTTATTGCAGCAATGCCAAGAACCGAAAGGATTTGAAGTCGTGAATGCACTTGCCTCTGCAGGAACCTGCAGTTCCAACATGGAGCTAGCTAGAAAGGTCTCTGACACCCACAGGATCTGCGTAATCAAAACATTCTATAGAGCCATTCCTCCGGGGCTCATCGTCCCTCTTTCACAATCACGACTTGACCTTCAAAAGGAGGAAATGAACATCAGCAGTTGGCCAAAATCATGGGACAAACCCCGAATCAAGCTTGGTGCCTCACCACTCAAGCATGTGTCCCGCGTCCCCAAATAATTCCCATAGATTTCCATCCGTGTTCAACAGCTCACCGTCAATTTCCCCAGTTCTACCCGGCCGCGTGGTCTCCCCAAACTGCGAAGACTCTGTGTTTTCCACACCAGCCTCTGGTCCTGCTATTCCATCGCACCCCATGCAGCGACCGCCCATCCAGCCCGGACAGAAGCCCATGTTGGGCTGAAAGCCGAAGAAACTCCTCACGCAGCAGCTCCAAGGTCTCTTCCACCTCAGCACCAAAAAGTCAAATGGCTTGGCTGCAGTGGGGGAAGGCGATTTGAATAGACATGAGAAAACTACATGTTAAGAACTTCCAACTGTAGATTTGATAGAGGGGATCCCAACAAAGGCCTCACTGAGACTGGTAGAGTTTTCACGAGCTTTCAATGATTGAGAAATATTGGGAACGTATGATGTTCTTGTCATAACCCAAAACCATTGATTCTTGACTAATTATTAAACTTCAACACCCTTCTTTGGGAAAGCAACACTTCCGTTCATCTAGCCTCCAATACCCTTGACGGACGAGCCTGAGTCAAAAAGCCTTGGTCCCAAACTTGCACCAACAACTCCGCTGTGACGTGTATGGTTTGTCTTAAGAGCAGGATCGTGTTATCTGCCCCCATGGCAAGTTCGGAGCATTCTTCCAGAATAAGGACATGAACTCATGAAAAGCACCCGCAGAAAGTGGCACAAGAAACGCCCATGCAAGGAACTCTCTATGTCATCCAAGCACGCGTGGCATGCGTCCGTCCCGGGTCTCGGGTCGTCCCGGGTCTCGGGTCGTCGCGTCCCGGGTCTCGGGTCATCGCCCAAGCGACCGTCGCATATGCGTCGGTGCCCAGGAGCAGTTGACGTTCGGGGCAGCTCCAGAGGTAGGGCAAAGGCTCATTGGAACGGAGCAAGGACCTGAAGTATCCTGAGGCCGCACAGAGTTTGGGCCAAGATCGACGTGTTTGAAAGCAGGGAGGAAAAACACAACCACCAAGCAATATAGACACTCAAGTGATAGATTCGACTCTGAAACATCACCACTGCTCATTGCATTTCCAGATCAAATGATGATACAGTCATCTGTTTTCCTTTCCTTAGGGTTCACCTGCTTTGATGTCGGCATGATGGCCTCAAGAGTTTCTATGGGTCTTCAGGAACGGCTCATGGGCGAACAAAGAACTGTAGGGTAGCCACCCTGGATCCTGACTGTCACCTCCTACTTCTCCTTCAAATGGTTAGAAGGCTTGGACGGCAACACAAACCGTGAGACCTCCACTGCGAAGTCTCCAGTGTTTTCGGTCCATACGGGTCCCAAGTCTTCTTCTGCCGTCTCCGGTGTACCTGATTTCTCCAGTCAACGAGCCATCTCCATGGCATCTGGGTTTTGTGTGTCAGTTGCACTACTACTTGTGGGTTCAACATCTCAAACAAATCCTTGGTGGGTGGCCCAAGAGTTTTTGAACAGTATATAAGTTCCTTGGAAACTAGTCCTGACACTAGGCTGGCTTGACTTCGCCACTTTTTGTGGTGGACAGACCACAATGATTGAATTGAGAATCTGCGACCGTTAGTTCAGTGTTTGTACTGACACCCTGCCATGCAAAAGTAAAACATCCCTGACCTCAACAGAACAACAGCACCTTATCAGAACAGCTGGGTTTTGAACTTCCATCAGCTTCCAGGTCTTTGCCTCCATCTCTAAAAATCATTCATCACCCGTTCAGTTCGCGTCCTCGCGTCCTCGACCACGTGGCCGTGCCACTGGCTCTTCTCGCCCAGTGCGCGCTCAGCACAGATCGCACAGCGCAGCGCCACGTCCAGGTCCAAGTCCGACAGCTGCGGTGCCAGCTGCGTATTCCTGGTGGGTTCCAACGGCGCGAGTCGCGTCGGTTTTTCCACCGAACAATTTAGTTTGGAAAGGCGTTTTGGTTTGGACTTGGGGAAGAGCTTCGAGACTGGTGGAAAGAGAAACAAGAGTGATAGTCACATCATCAGGTTTTACTGTTTTCATCTGTTTTCTCTTTTTAGGCACCCCTCATGTTCCATGATTTGCTTGATAAAAGGAAGCTGTTTGAAAGATGAGGAATTCCGACATTCCATGGAATGCCTGAAACCCCACACGTCCAGCTGCCATCGGATCGAGGCGGCAATCTGTGTGCCCTGCTCACCAGTCAAACCCTTTCCCAGGCCATCCATGTATGAGATATTTACCTACCAGGACCATCCTGTCTGGGTGTCCTGGCTGGACTACGAAGCCCACTATTTAGAGATGTCCAGGCACCCAGACAGGATGATCCTGGTACGTTGACCTTTCAACCGCCCCAATGTATTTTCATATGCCATTCCCATGGATTGTTTGGGCTGGAAACTGCCCAGTCCGGACCAGCTCTGCGGATTCTCGTGGACCGACACTGAGCATTGCACCGAACCACAAGCTGTGAGCCGTTCAAAAGCTGCCACCAGCAAGCTTCCAAAGCTAGTCTACAAATGATTAAATGGGGATCAACAAGACCGTGTCTCAACATCCAAACATTTTGGCTTAACATGATTGAATGAATGAGTTGAATGACTGAATTAACAATTGAATGAATGAATGAATGAATGAATGAATGGATGAACGAATGAACGAACGAACGAATGAACAAACAAACAAATGAATGGCATGACATCACATGACATGACATGACATGAAACGAATTGAGGTGCATCGAATTGAACTGAAATTAACGAAGGAAGGAAGGAAGGAAGGAAAGAAATCCTGACGCAACGTGACATGAATGAGCTAAGGAATGACAGATGAAAATGAACATGAACATGACAATGACACAAAATTAACTATATCCGTCAGGATGGGCCTGATGGCGCATGGATGCATGGATGGAAAGACTGATGGACAAGCGGGTCCGAGTTGAAAACCAACAAGCAGGTTTACATGAGTCACTTACACAAAAGGCACATGAGCGTGTACTGAACTGCGTGTGGGATGTGTGTTCACTACTGGCTAAAACATCCTAAAACCCCAAAAGCACAAATTACTTTCAACATCCATGACAAACTTGGAAGGTTTGGACTGTAAGGCTTCAGTGCTAGAGTGCATCCACGTCTACATCCTTGCATCAAACCATGTCTTCATTCCTTCGTTCATTCATTTATTCATGCATTCCATTTCTTCTACCCCATTCCCTTCCAATCCAACCCATGCCGTTCCATTCATTTCCGTTCATGTCATACCATTTCATGTCATGTCATTTCATTGATTCATTCGTTTGTTCATTCTTTCCTTCCATTAATTCATTCGCTCAGTCATCATTCATTAATTAATTAATTCATTCATTCAGGTTGCTTTTCTCAATCCTTTCCCATTCGATTTCAAAAAACAAGGTGCGCAAAGTTGCACGATCAAAGCCACAAACAATGCAAATTAGAAATACAACATGCTTTGGTGCACAAATGCATTGACTGACTGTTACATGGAAATGCAAAAAACACGCGACGATCGTTCATTTTTCCAAAGATACTGCAAAACGCTACCTTTTGATGAATGAATGAATGAATGAACTGAAGGATTGATTGATTGAATGAATGAATTTTAACAGGTCGCTTCCTGCATCTTCCTGCTACAACCATCTTCCTGCTACAACTAATCAATCGGAATCAAGCCCTCTCTGTGACAATTGATACTGTTTGAACTCTTCCACAATCCATACACTCTCGTCCTGATCGACAAGACGGCGGACTTGGGGATGGTTGCCAGCACCTCTCCTCCGACCGCAGTCCGAGAGCGGACGCTCGAGAGCGAGTCCGGGAGGCGATCCAAAGCAGAAAGAGGTTCAGTGACCTGAACTAGGACCCGTCACCAGGGGTACCCAACTAGGATAGTCTAGTTCGGGTTCTTCAACCTTTGCTGTTGCTGGATGGGGATGTTGGGGCTATAGCTTTGGGCGCTGCCTAGGCGACGTGACAGCTTCAGCGATCTCGATGGACTCCGACGGTCGACCTTCCGCTGAGCTGTGGGACGACCCCCGCTTGAGCCAAAGTGAGGCCCTTGGAGGTGGTGATTTTCAGAGTATCTAGATGGCACAATCTAAAAGACCTCTTGGGGTTGGTGCCAATCTACTCTGAAACTAAGCTACGTTCGTAGCTTCTTGTTGCTAAGGCCAGGAGCGCTACTAGCAGCGTCCTTGCTCCGTTCGTAGCGATGCACTTTGTTACTAGTAGCTTCTTGTCTAGTAAATTCTTGGGATCTCAGCTTCAACGTCACCGAAGCCCAACCAAACCCACGCCGTGGTGCGCGGACGCACTCCGAACCCTACAAAACGCCGGTGGACGCCGACCCGACCGTTGCTCCAGCACGCAGCGGCCGCGAGCTTCGCACGCCCATGCCGCCCACGAGAGGGACATCGCCCGATGCCGTGGTCAGCTCGATGGCCTCGAGGCGGCGTGGGTTCCGTGGATTTGGATTCCAAGGAAAAATAAGCCATTGGCTTTTGGAGCCTCAAGGTGGTTTCGGGTAATCTTTGCAAATCCTTCCCATGAAGCTCTGAAAAGAGGGTCTATCATTCCCGGCAGAATGCTTGAATATGGAAAGTGCTCGTTCCAGACTCCACCGCAACTGTGTGAAAGACCCACATAGCATCAAACATCTCCGACAACAATAAACAAGAGCGCCTTGAGCGCTGCACACCAAAAAAATTGACCAAGATCAACCAGGTACTTTCTTGATCTTTCTTGTAGATCCGGCGCTGATGTGTCATCCATCTGGAGATTCACCAAAAGTCATCAACAGTTCTTCAGTCCTTTCTTGACCCCCCAAATGGCCCAAACATGATCTTGTTAGGTCAGTTTGACATGTTTGACCAGCTTTAGGGTGGTGGGCAATTCCAGATCAGGTACAATTACTCAGGTTCCCAGTCTCCGAATATCTGAGTCTCCCTCCGTCCCCCGGAGGGTGTCTCCTCACCGAGGTCGTCGCCTTTTCATCCCAGGAGACACCGTTCTCTGCCAGCCAGACCTGGCGAAGGCGCGTCTGGCTGGAACGAAGTCTCCGAACTCCGACACATCGTGGCCGAAGCTGGGAAGTGGAACAAACCACGTCGCAGGAGATGGATGTCTTCCGAATTCGGGACCATGCCATCCACTTTCCATGAAGTGATTGAGTGTTCCTTAGCGTGTCCCTCGTGGTGTCTCAAGTATTTTCGGCCAGTAATCCCGTAGATTCTTATCAAAAATGAATTGAACCTTCAAGGTTTTCTTGGTTCGGAGCCGATGCACTAAACCAGGTGTGGAGATGGACCTACCAGCTGCTTCCATGTCTGCAGCACCGATGGGGTCTATCCCGGATGTCCATCAACAGCATCACCGTCAGCCATTAAACAAAAACAAACAAACAAACAAACAAACAACAAACAGCTTGCATGATCTTGCATGCCTCTACCGAGAGTCACAAAGGGGTGGTGTTCAGTCCCGAAGTGAGTAGATAATGAAAGCACCCCTATCCTCCAATAAGGCACCCCGTCTTGTAACTCCAGTGTACTTTTTTCAGGGTGCCAAAACAAGCCGTGTGACCGTGTGACTGTCAGACTGAGGCCACTAAGTCCGTATATATCCTACTGTATCCCCATCCATCCTCCTGAGGCCACCGGCCTTTTTTGTTCCGATCGATTCCCAGGTTTGGAAATAACAGAAATTCCACCCTCCGAGGCATGGAAGCGCCTTTATCTCCCGCAGTCTGCGGCAGTCTGCATCTCTACTGGGGCAAACACCTGCGTCCGTCCTTCGGAACAACAGGTCCAACATGGTCAAACGGTGCGGCCCTCCTGCGGCCCTCCCCTTTTTTTGCAGAACACACATACCATATACCCGATCAATATGGCTTCCTTTTGGGTCTTTCAGGCACCCCAAAGAGATCCACTTGTAGTATCTTGTACTTTAAGCAATTCTGAGACTTGCGACCGTGCCTTGAGGATCTCCACATGGCGCTCATGTGGATCCATGGCGGCCCAAGCAAGTCATGCGCGGCACCCGGCAGTGGAAAACGGACACCCAGGGATACCGTCGGGCCCAGCATTGAAATAACCATGGTGACGTGGTGTTCACCACCTGTTTGTGGAGAAAAAAGGTCGAGAAAAATGCTCTTCCAGGGGGCAGTGTAGCTTTGAATCTGTCGATTGGTGGGGCAGGATGCCTTCTGGGTAGCAGGGAGGACTGGTGGTCAGTGCACTGCGGATGAACTAGATCTGGGGGAGCCTCCCCACGCCCCTGGATCAGCATGGTTTGTGTAGATTAAAACAAAGAATATATAACTGCATGAACCATAATAAACGGCTTTCTTCCAGCCTCCGCAACGTTTCCGCAGGATCGAGCAAGCCATCCTTTTCAAGATCGCGACATGATCTTCGGACATTGGGATCGTTTCCTCCCGAAGCGGAACCGAAGCATCGACCAGGGGTTCTTCACCTTTGAGAGAACCATGATTCTTGGGGCAACTGCTTAGCTTCATGAGAGAATTCCCGTCTTAACAACGTCTCGCCAGTTTGGGAGGTCGTACTGTCATTTTTTTCCGTAGCCAAATGTTCAGTAGTGTTGGAAGGAACAAACAAAAGCAATCCTGTCCATAATCTATAGCACCTCTTTGTTCAAGCTGTTGCGATTGGGTGTGGTGGCGTGGCGTAGAAACGATGACGCTCGCGGAACACTCTATCTGCAGCTATTTCATTTTGCAAGGTATACGACACCCATGACAAACGGCTTCTGTCACTGTTGTAGTACGAGTATGGAACAAACAAACAAACAACAGGTTTATCATGGTTTATCAAAAAAACATGGGACACTCCTGGAAGAATGATACCCACCACCCGGTCCGCATCCCACGAACGGCCACGTGAACTGCCGAGTTTTTGAGTCCGTCCGCGCTGGAAACCACGGCCTGTCGTGGGAGACCATGACCACGGCACCTTCGAACTCTCGCAAAGCCATCTCCAGAGTTTCCTGCGAAGCGGAAGCATCTCCGTGCGTGGAGTTGCCAGCTGCTGGAAGGATCAACTCATGAGTGTCTCCATGGTAGCGTATTGTCGGACTTAGATAGCGTTTGGTCTTGTTTTGCGTATTATATTCGAACATATTCTACGCAGGCCTATTCTAAGCCTGAAAACATGGCACTGATCTACAATCAATTCGCAGTCTACTCTTCTTTCCTTTGCAAGTAAGAAGAGAACTCAAGCCAAACGCAACATCCCAAGTTTCAAATCCATTTTGCAGGTTTAAAAACTTCCACATCGACTCTGAACTCTCCAAGAAAACGCCACGCGGGCCATGGCCGAACGCCAGCTGTGCAGAACGATTCGGATTCCCAGTTCATCCCAGTCAAGTGGGGAAATGTGATGGCCCAATGCATCGTGCTTCCAAGCCGCCAGCTGTATAGGTTGTGGTTGGTGCTTGCGCCATGAATGGTTCAATGCAGGGCGTGCAATAATGTGGTAATATGTGGTAATAGGTGGTTCACGACCGTATCCCTTCGAACGCCACAGTTTCCAACCTTTCACAAGCGCAAAATGCTTGGCCCTCGATGTTGCTTGGGGAAAAAAGAACGGAGCACGTGCACCTGCGCTGATGTCGGAGCACGTGCAGGGTGCCGCGGGTGTTGCACCGCCAGCGTCTTCGCGGTTCGTGGGCCAGTCCTTCATGGGCACGTCCAAATGATTGGTCGGCTCGTCAAAGATCAACATCCGCGAGGGGATCAGCATCATTCGCACCTGAACCCACGTCGGCCCTCGTGCGATCCGCGGTGCGACGGACGGCGGCCATGGCGGTTCTGTACTGGGATGGGAGGTGGCATAACAGTGGGCGGAGGATGGTTTCGAGCACGGTGGCAAGTGTATACCTTAACATTGCATCCTTTAATAATCCATTGGATGGAATGGAATGAGATGCAGAAAGGTCTGTAAACACACCCTTTAGGTGTCCATTGGATGTTGTCGTTTCTCTGGGACAAGCAGTTGGCGCTTTCGCAGGTGCACGTCTCTGCTTTGGCGTCCGCGCGATGGCCAAGCGAGCTTTCTCACCGCCGGAGAGGTTGGCGATCTGCACGTGGGCACCTCAAAAACAACCAGGGAGAAAACTGACTAGCCTCATCTAGCCTCCCTCCAACAAAACATCGAAGTGGAAAACCAACTGCTTGTGGAACATGTGTTTTTCTTACTGCTATACTGCCTGACACTCATCATGGTTACGCGGATGGCATGGGCCCGGTTTCGGATGACCTTTCTCTTAATACCAAATACGTGGTGAACTCCACTTCCATGATTCCAGGGAGTGTAGATTAAGCTTTGAAACTACGCAAAAGCCCCAAATGTAGCTGGTAAATATATGCCAGTTCAAAGTGTGTCACCGCCGATGCCGGATGCCCCAACAAAACCGTCCGAAGACTGTCGGGCGTCCCCGGCGATCGCCACGGAAGCGGAACTTCTTCATGATCTCCTGGAGGAAAAACTATAGAAGCATCTAATCTGAATGGGTTCAGATGGGGCACAGTGAGACCCCAAAATTACTGTTAGTGTCTCTTGGTGTCTTGTGTCTCTTGGCAAATTCTGCTTCACCAAAGTTATAACGAGACTTGCACATCACAATCATTCTGTTCCAAACTTATTGAGACCATCTGTCAACCACAAAGAAAAAACAACAACATGTGACAAAGATATTTGGATGCTTTCATATTCGCCCTCTTGTTGAAAATATCGGACAACGGCATGTCACGACATGTCGCGACATGTCACCACTTCACTTTAAAACCACCACGCGCTGTCAGACCACTAGGTGCTTCGCTTCACAACACCAGTGCAGTGCTCAGTGACTTCCAGGATCACTTCCAGCCGGATGCAAAAAGCCTGTTCTCCCGGACTCGTGGTCTCACGGGTCGGTCTCATCGATCGGCGCCAGTTCGTCCGAAACAGCTGGTGTGAACACTCCACTTCCGAAGGAGTGGGAAGTGGGAGTGTAGAAGACCACACCTTCGCCTTGGGGCCCTGGTAGAAGACACATCGGGAAGCGTCTGGGATGGTTTCAGTTTTCGAGACCTTCTTCTACATCCCTCTACCACCTCCATGTGTGGTCATGGTCCAATTGCGGTCCGGGAAGTCCAGTGACTGAACAGCTCATCTTCTTGACTGGCCGTGTCCCTTCCGGTTGCCGTTCTGCTTCTGTTCTGCACGTGGAACCCACGTGTTCTTCCATCTTGAGGAGTCATAATGTAATCCTAGTCAAGCAAACCATCCTGCAGGTCATGTGCCATCCATTGTCTAGTGATGTCTAGTGTGTCTATCCCGTTGTACTTTGAATTCATTGCAATGCAATTCTCTTGTTGACACTTCAACCTTTTGGCCAATTGTTGGATAGCACAAACACCCAGGCATCTACTGAGTGCACATGCTCCATTTGGATTCATTAGTCATGTCGCCTTGCAACCTATGCGACTCAAGTGCATGCTCCATTGAAGGCGCAATCAAACGTTTGCGTGTTCGCCATGTTCGCACTGACTCCAATCATTTTCATGCAAAGGAGGGAGACACCCCAGTAAAGATCAGCTGTTCCAAGGGTTGCAAAGACCATTGAGAATCACCTGTGGCATCCTGTGGCTGGAACATGAGAGCCCAAATTGAACCTCATACGTACCTCTCCTCAGAAGTGTCATCTTCTAGCCTCGTAAGCTTCATGCTGTGCCACTCGAACACTCCCGGCACAAAACTGCGTGTATTTTTAACTCCAATCCGCCCCAGGCAGATCGCGCGCAAACCGTAATACGCGGTCCATGAGTTTTTTGTCATCCATCAAGATCTCGTTGGCTTCCTGGCATGACAAAATCTTGGAAACCAAGTCTTCGGAGATTTGAACCTCCAAACGAGTCGCCTGCCTTGATCACTTCCCAACCGGTCTTCTCCATCGGCAGCAAGTCTGCCTCCCAGGCCAGTCGCTGCCAGAGATCAGAAGATCTGGTATCACGTGTTCAATAGCTTAGGCAAGTGCAAACTGGACAAGGAAAAACAACTGGTCCTTATTTAAAGGTCCAAAGTCTAAGAGTCTAAGAATAAGGAAAAAAATAGCTGATGCCAGAGATCAGAATATCTGATGGTATCGTCCACCACCCAGGTCAGGTAGACCCCCCAGATCCAAGATTCCTTTTTGCTGTATAGGTATACATTCCCAGTCAAACAACATGTAGGCGAAGGCGACCCCGCCGCTGCATGTTTTGTACCCTACATGTATTTACATGGAACTCATCTATATAACTCTTCCGAACACACTCATTCTCAAATCCTCACAACACAGGCTTCAAAAATGCTTCAAGTGGGTCCCCGAAATCAAACTCCTCATCCAAAATCCAATTAATTATCCCACCTACTCCTTTTGACACACCGCATGAGTCACAAGGTTCTTAAAACAAGCACACAACAACAACAAACCAACAAACAAACACTTCAAAAAACACGCACCAACAACAACAAGAAAAACAAAACACAAGTAGATTGATGCTCGCAAGAGCTAAGTCAGCGAAGGTAGCCCACTCTAGTGATTACACTACCGGCGCAATGCTAGACCTTGGCTGGTGAACCGCAAGGTGGAGGAGTCCGCTTCAACAGTATTGTTTAACATGGGTGAGACGGGGAGGCTCACTAGCACTTTAGAATGATTTAAAATGCAGGTACATGGTTGAGCGTCCTCAACCACTTCCCTTCCAGTGACCCAGCTTCGTTGGATCGGGTTAGTCACTGGAAGCCTGATCCCCCTGCCTGATTGAATCAAGAAGCAAGTTGATTCGAATTAACTTGCAATGTGTGAAAACCTTAGAAACAGGCGTTGACACACAAACACACACAACCACAACAACAACAACGACGACGACGACGACGACGACGACGACGACGACGACAATACCGATGTTCGTCCCCGAACTGCGCCTGGTGTTGAGCGAAGAATCCTTGGCCGAACTGCGGAGTGTGGGCTGGAACCGTTCTTCCGACGAATGGACTGACGTGGTTTTCGCGAAGGTGAAGAAGAAGGGGAAT